GTAAATGACAATCTATCTAGACATATGACCTCCCACCAAGTCTAGGATGTACGCTGCAGGGAGGTAGAATAGCTGTTATTATCCTTGAGCCAAACGACATCTATCAGATATGTGAGCACTGAAAAGACCAGGACATTTGTCTCTGGAAACCTGACACAAAGCCCAGCTCAGCTGCCCTGAGCGTGGACCCTGATGTTGCTCAGAGACCTGGCTGTGCTCATCCTGGAAATGTTCTCCAAGCATCTAAGAGAACTTGGGTCATGAGCAATCATGGGACATCCACTTTAGCCATTTTCTATCATTCAGTCAGAATACCCGACACTCACAACTTGAAGAAGGAAAATTTATTTTGGCTCATAGTTGCAGTGAATTTAGTTAATGGCCAGATGAATCAAACAAAAAATTGCATGGTGGAAGGGCCTGGGTGGAGGAAAGCTGCTCACTTCATGGCAGCCAGGAAGCAGAGAGAAAAGGGAGGAGCTGGAGACAGAGATATATATCCATCCAGGTCATGTCTCCTGTGAACCCCTCTTCTGGTCAGGCCTTATAACAGCATATGCAACAATGAGCATAGCTCATACAATCTCCTTCCAAAAGCCTCGCCTCTGAACAGATGAGTGGGAGTGAATTCTAAATTCTAAATTCTAGAATTCTAAATTCTAAATTCTAGAATTCTAAATTCTAATTCTGGAGTGGGAATTCTAAATCTAAACCATAGCAGCCCTCCTCTGACCCTCAATGTCATGTTCATATCATTATGCAAAGTGCATTTAGCCCATCTGTGGAAGTCATCAAGCTTTTGACACTTCCAGTATTGCCGAAAAGGTCAAGTCTGAAGCTTCCTCTGAGAATCAAAGAAAGTCTTAGTGTGAGTAAAAATCAAAACAGAAGGTTAAACTTCTAACATACAGTAGCACAGGGGAAACATTTCCATTAGAAAAGACATAGTGAGATGGAAAGGAATCAGAGCAATGCAAGTTCAAAACTCAGCAGGACACACATTGAATCTTGTAGGTCCATGTCCAATCTGTGAGACAAGTTGTGGTGAGATGTTGCCTTAGTTAGTTTTCTCATTGCTGAGACAAAATACTCAATGCCTGATGTTAAGAAAGGAAGGCTTATTTAGCTCACAGTTTATAGAGGTTTCAGTCCATAATCAGCTGGCTCCTAGGCAGGTGATTTCACAGAGGAGAGTAATTCATGGCAGGCAGAAGACAGCAAAAGCAACAACAGAGCAAGAAAGATAAGCCTCTTATAGAGTATGCATTCTACCAGTATTAGAGTGGTTCTCATCCAATCAGTGGATTGATCTAGCATCACCCACCCTTAATCTCAGCATTGCACTACAAATTCTGCCATGAATCTGCTCATTACACTAGATTCAGCCAACTCTGAAAAAATCCTATGACCACATGAGGTTTGGGGGGAACATCTAGACACAAACCATAACAGCTGTGAACTCCAGATAGCTGAGGAGCACTAGAGCAGGGCCAATTACAGTCCTCATCTTCTCTCTCAGGGTAGCTGCACTCACTGTCCATGTTTTCTCTTAGCAGACATTCCACATTGCCAGCATCTCCAAATTCCTGAAGTCTCCACTGTACTTTTAGCTTCATTCTCACAGCTTTATGCACTTCCCTCTCAGAGGCAAACTGCCTGTCCCCTAATCCTTCCTATAAAATCCAGGTAGAATCTTCCGTGACATCATGACTTTGGCATTCTGAATCCCTGAAAAACCAGCAAAACACAGATGATGCTAAGGCTGCGGTAGCCAGCCTCCCTCGTATCACGGCTGCAATGGCCTCTGAATGGTTCACTGAATGAACTCCAGGAAATTATTTTCTAGTTGTTCCTGAAAGAGCTGAATTCTCTGGGGATTCTCTTCTTAAAGCAAAAATTTTGAGTTTTATACCTGAGCCTGGAAAGATTGGAATTTTGCTGGTATCTGTGATGCCCTAAGCCATGTTTTTAAATATCTTAATGCAAAGTGAGTTGCTCCCTTTTAAGGCTAATAATTTCAGCAACTGTGCTCTCCATTGCCCCAACTTTACAAATGCTTCCTTTCTGTTGAAATAGAAAACCTTTAAATCATTTAACTCTACTATTTGTTCCTGATTCTCATTGTAAATCTTGCAGCAAGCAATACCCATACAGTCTGAACACTGGGCTGACATAAAATTTCCTCTGCCAGATTAATTAGTCCGATACCTTTAATCTTAGCTTCTCAAAGTCTCAGTACATGAACAAAATAAAGACAAATTTTCTGATGATGCACAAACACATGGTCTTTACTACAACTTGCAATGAAGTTCTCATTCCCAACTGAAACTTCCCAAGGCTGGTCTTTACTCTACATTTTTATCAGCATTCTGGTCTTCTGAGCTCTGATTGGTATCACCTATCAAGTTTTTGCTTACTCTGTTTACAGCATTCTAGGTCTTCTCTAGCTTGAATCTCCCAATCTTTCCAAATACCTTCCACAAAGCAGTTCCCAACGCTTTGGAATTACGTGGTCACAGCAGTGGTCCCACTTCCTGCACCAACTTCTGTCATCGTTACATTTTCCTTACTAGGACAGACAACCCAATGCTCACAACTTCAAGGAGGAGAGATTTATTTTGGCTCCTTTTCAGTCTTACTCCATGGTCTGTCAGCTTCAATACCAAAACAGTGTAGTGAACGGGCCCAGCTACCCTGATAGAGAAAAAGAGGTGAGCATAGGAGAGAGTCCAGGCCACATCTCCAGTGGATAGCTTCCAACCAGGCAACATATTTGGTTATGGATTGCACTGAGGAATAGAGTCCCCATAATATAATCACATCCTAAAAGCCTCACTCTGAACATACAATATTTGTGGGGTGGGGGTCATTCTAGATCTAAATCCTAACATGAGGTGAAGGTGGTGTGTTAATATGCTGTTCTACAACTCTTTGGAACCATCACCATCACCCCTGGCTTGCCTGAGGACCCCACTGCCAGGAGTTTCTGTGCTCTTGGATAAAGTAAATTGAGAACTGAGTCTTTGTGAGACAGGTCGTTTCTCTGTGCCTTTTCTGCTAATGAGGTCCTCTGTGTATGCCTGTCTTTGATTTCCTGTCTTGAAGAACTGCATGGAGCATATTAGGGAAAGATTTTTAAGAACCTAGAAAGATACAGAGGGGGACATAGGTAATCATATAAGAAGACACATCTTCCTTGCAGGGTGGTGGGTAGGGAGAGGCAATAGATCTTGTTTTGCATTCCGAAGTCTGAAAACCTCAGCCAGCCCAGGAACAAAGAGAAACAGTGAGGCCAAAGGTTGAAGGTTTAAATCAGAACCATTGACTGGCTTGGGTTTGAGACTGTCACAACGTGTTTCATGGAGATTGGTTCTGAGTGGTGTTGATATGTTGAGATGGAAAAAATGGTCCCTGGCCAGAGCATGTGGGAAATGCTGGTTCAGTAACAATACCAGCAACTGACTTCTTTTGCTCTGGGGTTTTCCAGAGCTCTGCCATGAAACCCTTAGAGGATGAGAGCTTCCTATAGGCACAACTTCAGGGGTGTTATGGAAGAAAATGGAGCCCAGTCCCTTACAGTCAGGGTGTCCCTCCCTCCACTTGGTCTCTAGGCCCTTCCCTCCACTTGGTCTCTAGGCCCTTCCCTTCAGCCAGCCATGTGTCTTTGTCCCTGTAACTGCACTACCCTAGTCTCTGGCACCAATACTGAATAGTGTCAGGCTGCAAAAAAAGGTGTCATCTGGGGTCAGTACAAGGGGCTTGGCTGCTTGTTGCTTGAATCTTCCCACAAGCAAGTGATAGTCGCAAGTTAGTTTTACAAGGTTCCACCAGAAGGAATATAGGCAGAACCAGGAAGGAAGCCATCCCCTCCCCCACTGTGAGCCAGCCAGCATGCAGACAGGAAGAGAAGAACACACACACACATACTCACACACACACACACACACACACCTCTTTAAGCAGCCAGCTGATACACAGGAACACAGGCTGAAATGATAACAACTGAAGTAAAGAAAACCTAACACTGGTATTATTTGATTGACTTTGCAAGCCTAAAGCTGGTAGTTTGGGCAACTATCTAGAAGACAGCAATATGGAACAGAGTAACTATGGTGGATTCCCTACTGTTTTATTTTTTGAAATCCAGTATCAAGTTCTCACTCTTTTGTTTTGTTTCATTTTATTGTTCTGTTCTATTCTCTTTAAAATAAAAGTAAAACACACACACACACACACACACACACACACACACACACACACACACAAAGAAGGCATATAGACATCTCTTTACCTAAATTCAAAGTGAAGAGTGACCATTGTGGCTTTCTGTCCCATCTCACAAAGAACATGGGATCATCAGGGGCCTGCAGAGGACAGGCTGCTGGATGGGTGTCCACAGGGACCTCAGCAGCTTGTAGAGATGCACCATTTACCTGAAGATTTCTGAACTCACAGATACACTGGCAAGGCATCCAGAGAGCCAAGGACCAGGCTGCAAATGCAATGTCAGAGAAGGAGAGAGACCCAGCTCCAATGCACTGGTCATGACTTCTTTTCTCTGAAGATTTACGAAATCTTCAAATGTGTGCTAGGCTGAGGTGAAGGAGTTGTCCTCTCTTCCTATTCCTCATCATCATTTGCTCCTCCTCCTCGTCTTCCTTCCCCTCCTCATTTTCTCTTTCCTCTTCCTTCTTTAAATATAAATGATACTGTACAAGGGTAAATCATATAGTAAAATATCTGCAGTACAGAATTTCCTCCCTGAGTTCTTTACCTTAAGAAGGGCTTTGGCTGTGGATGGTCTGACAATCTCTGTCTGTTTAAATACAAAGGGTAAAACAAACAAACAGCCATCCCATGGCTTACAGAGGGCCCTTGCACCATTACCTTCTTAATGGACAAAGATGATGCAAACAAAGAAGAGAAGACATCCCGATGTCCTGGAAAAGAGCAAGTGTCAAAGCATAACGGAGTAGTGCCCACCAAAACCACATACTCACATGTTTCCTTCATTCCCAGTTCAAGGTGCGCATTTAGCAGAGTCTAGGAGTCCTTCCAGCTGAGCTGGAGAAGCAGCAAATGAAGCAGCAAATGAAAAACACTGCCTGAATAGAACTCTTATCCCAGAGGAAGGAAAAAATCAAAGAACCTGCTGCAAGCTGAGAAGCCACAGGCAGCAGGACTAAAATATAGGGTTTAAGCCAGGACTGTCCACAACTCTGCAGATAAACCCGGGTGTATCCTGGGTGTTGGCGCTCAGGAGGCCTTGGAGGCACAAGGAGGCTGTGGAGAGAGCATACAGCAGGAGACAGAGAGACACAGTGATCTTGGAAGGTCTCTGCCATGAAGTAACATTGAAGTAGAGACCCAAAGACCCAGAGTCAGAGCATGTGAAAGCAGCCAGGGGAGAAGGTGCAGACAGCAAGGGTTCTCCCGGAGCAGGCCTCTGGGCGTGGCCTGTATGTGGGGGTGAGGGTGAGAGGAGCTGAGCTTCAGGCTGGCTGCAGATCCTAAGCTCAGGGCTGGGCTCTGCAAAGGGAGCACTCTGCACTCTGCCTTCTGCCTGAAGGAAGCCACAGCCATGCTGGCATAATGAGATCAGTTCTGTCTTTATGTTGCAGTTTTGATTTATGTAACTAGCAAGGCATAGCCATCGTTAGTGAGAAGTGGGCAGCCTAGTGAAGTTTACGTGGGCTTATGGAAGATCCGCACTTTCCAGGTACACAGCGTCCCTGAAACTCCCACCTGCCCCACTTAGGCACCTTCCTGCTCCCTACAAAGGAAACCACTGTTCCCATTCCTATCCTGACGGGCTTATGTTGCTCATTTTTACTTCATATAACTGTCACGGTACAGTGGGTCATTCCGGTCATTTTTAGTCATCACTGTCACTTTATTCTCCTTTTTATTGATGCACAGCATTGCCTTATTTTAATACCGGTCTCAGGTCTAGTGGGCTGAGGTTGGTGAGTACTGAATGGTTCCCAACCAGAGCTACTGTGAGTGGGTTTCTAGGAACAAGTGTCTGGGGAGGAATGAGCACAGTCGTGGAGTCTGGAATCACAGAGTCACAGACTGTGTAGCTTATGACCCTTCCCTTCCACTTACATCCCAGGAAGACTGGGCAGCTGTCCACATGCAACCTCCTAAACTTGACCCTGTCAGTGTTTGGGTGTCCTAAAACCAAGCCTAGCTACTCTGGGACTGTTGGCAGTACCACACTGTGGGGTCTAAGTGACTGTGGCTAGAATATATAGTCTGTGAAAACACATGACCCTGTGGATGCTGGTGTTTTAATTTATCTCTATTAAACATTATATGATTTTCTTCTTACACTTTCTTTTAGTTTACTTTATATTTTTAGCTTCAGAAGATATAACCTTAGATTGCTGATTTTTAGTCACTTTTTAATGCATTCTTTTGAGGTTATTAATATTTCTCTAAACACAGCTCTGGCTGCCTATCATAAAATGTCACATTTCTAGTGATTCTATTTCTTTTTTTCATGGTTTCCATTCATTTAGGCTCCATTTTTTTTTTTTGGCATGCCTAGTAGTTTTTTTAATTGAATGATTTGCACTAGTGATGAAAATCGTCCAAGTTGTGGCACAGATTTAGCAAAAGGTCTGACTTTCTTCTTGCAGATGGTAAGATTCTTCTTGCAAATGGATAATGACTTTGATGTAGCTTGGGGTTCTCTTAGGACTAGTCTATTTCCAGGTGGCTTCATTCTTGAGACTTAGTTCTTCTAGAATCTCATCCTAACCAGAGTGCCAAGCCCTCCTCTCTTTCCAGGCCCTGAAGTCTAACTTCTGTCTCCAGAGCACCAGGACAGCTTGAGCAGTTTTCAATCCTGCCAGTACCTGTCCTGTTAGTTTCTGAAAGTCCCTCCTGCATAGCTTTGGACCACCAAAACCCTCAGGGAAGTACGCCCAGGTCTGTGAGCCTAAATCTCTGTGAGTCTCCTTCCCAGCTCATATCCTGGTCTCCTTTTATACTCAAATTCCAACTGGTGTCCACTCAAACCAGCAGATGTCAAGACCCTGCCCACTGCTTTCTGGATGCTTCAGAACAAAAGCAAAGCTATGGCTATCTGGGTCCCCTTCTCCCTCCAGGGCTTAGGTCTCAGTTTCTCTGCCAGGCTGCTCTCAAAGTGTAGCACCTGTACGTCTGAGCAAAGGAACTGGTATCTTCGGGCTCCCCAGTTGCACTTGCCAGCAGAAGATGGGGCCCAAAGCAAGGGTGCCTGACTGCATCTGTAACCTGTTGTGCCCATCCCCTATGTCCAGCAGGAAGTGTCCCTGCTGTCCTCATGGGGCTGCTGTGGGCAGACAATTCCTTGGACAGCTGCTCCCAATGCCTCTGGACTGAACTGCAAATGTGAAAGTTCCTGACCTACAGCAAAAGGAAGAAAAGTCTTTAAAAGCAGAAGCCAATATTTTAAAATAGACAGGATGCCTGTTCAATAGTAACAAATGCAAATGGAAAATAGATAAATGAAATTAATCAACCCCATACCTTTCATGGCTCTGTTTTCATGAGTTTCAGTATTGTAAATGCCTGCAGGACACACTTCCATATGGGATCCATATTCTGGCTGGGCCACACATGTTCTGAGTCCCTGGGAGGAGGGGTGACCAGAGGTTCTAACTCAGAGTGCACTCAAAGGTGCCCAGGTGCTGGGTACAGAGCCCTGGCTCTGATCCCCTTTCTGCAGGAGTCTCTGGGCCCCGGGTGCTTCTCCTGTCTGCCCTGGACCTCAGCAGAGGCAGATCTCATCCCAAGCCTCCTCTAAAGGCCACTTGCCTCCAGTGTGCTGGCTTAGAAAAACCAGGCTGGGAGAGCCTGGCCTGCTAAGTGACTCCTGCAAACCCCTCTCTGTTCAACAGCCTGGACTGTATGTTACACGTGGGTGCCTGCACCTGTGTGCTCACCACCTGTGTGATCTCATGCTGCCAGTGGGCTCATGTGCATTCCTATTCATGTGTGGACTCACCTGTGTGGTCACACGTGCTCTCACACACATTCCTGTGTATGTGCTCACACCTGCACGTTCTCTTACACAGGTGGTCTAACATAGCTTGTTTTGACTCTGTGTTCCTGCGCATACATGTTCTCATATGTATAAACTTCACATGTGTTCCCAGACTTATCATATCCATGTGCTCTCGCACTTGCTGTGGTGGCAGAAGCTACACCTATCACTGGGAAGGGCGAGTAGCCCTGCAGACAGCAGAACAGCAGGGAGCTAGACAGATCCCAGGACTCTGCCAGCCTGCTGAGAAGGCCTGTCACCTAAACATAGAGCCACCCTGCTTCTGGGCCTCCTGTCCAATGAATTCATCATTTTAGCTCAACTTTCTGTATGTAGAGACCCCTTGCTGGATGAAAAGACAGAAACTCTGGCAACCCCTGACCTGCATGAGCTTGGAGCTGTACTGATAGATGCACAGACAGGATAAAGGTTGCCTCCTCGTTTTCCTTCTTTAAAATAAAATCTTACAGCTGTAACTCAGCCTCCAGAGTTCTCCTCCTAGGAAAGGACAGAGAAGGCTGGACACAAAGCCAAGAGGAGCTGTTCGGTACAGATGCTGCCCGAGGAAGGAGGCTGAGGAAGTGGTTCCAGGCGCTCCTGAACAGGGTACAATATTCAGATGGGGCCAAGGGCAATAAAACTCAAGAACAAACCATGTCACTTTTGGACAAGGACAGGCAGATGGCGCTGTGTTTAAGAGATGATTTTCTTGTTATTTCCTCTTTTGCTGACATTAATAAAATTTTATTGACTTTAAACTCTGCTTCCAAAGAGGCAATATACTCTTTTACCATCATCTGTAAAACATATAGACTAGTGGGAATTTTTTTTTAAACTGCAAGACATCTTTCTTCTTATTATAGTATGGATTAATAGGATTAAAAGGCATTGCTTTGGCCTACAGTGGTGCTGCTGGGAGAAAGCATGGCTCCTTATCACACGTACAATTTTCTATAAATCATTTGGCAAAAGAAAACCATACACCCACTATTTAGAAAACACAAAGTAGTTTAAAATCCAACAAACCTCAGGAATTGCTGCTGACAGCCACATCATGAGCCAGTATTTGGAACAGTTCTCAAAAGTCTTACTCTCGCTGTGAGCATCTGAATGTGACAACAGGAAATCCTGGACATGTTAACCCTCCAAACACTGTTGAGACAGCACCCAGATAGCCTCACTGGGGTAACCAGTTCCTCAAGTTTATGTACACACTTGAATTTTGTTGGCCCCAACAGCAGTACCATCACATTCTGGCACTGAGTGCTATCCCTACCAGGGATCCTGGGATCCACCAGGTGGGTCAGGGGGCCAGAGTCCTTCCTGCTCAGATGATGAGACTATAGATGTGCTTCTTAGGAACTTCCCCATTTTCCCATTGTTCAGCTTTGCCAGTGCTCACATGCATAGTGCTGTGTGTCAGGAACATTACCGCCCACTTACAGGATGAGGAAGGACAACCACTGCTGTCCTCTGGGACAAGAAAGAACATCCATAACAGAGAGGAAGGGAGAGAATAAGGACACCTTTATGTGCATCCTAACTCCTGCTTCTCCCGTGGAGGAGGCTTTGCAAATTCCCCCAGCAGATTCCAGCTTGACTTTTAGGGGGTACTCTGTCAGCTGACCGTGGCCTCATCTCCTTCCCCTGGGCGAAGCCAAGTGTCTTCCTACACCATCCTACAAACTCTCACTTTCTGAGTGTCCTGAATGCCAGGTGTGGTGTGCACCCACTTTTCTGTGAGCGCCTTCGCTGATGCCCAGGTGAATCTGGCCACCTTCTCCCTCGTCCTTCCTGCCATCTCCATGTACCTGGAGACAAGAGTCTGAAGCTCAGTTTCTCAAGCTGCCTCTTCCTTTCATGCTCTGGAGTCCTCCCCGATTGGTGCTCCTGTGCTGCAGTGATGCCTGAGGCTTGTGGGATGTGTTAGTGCTCCCAGAACTATGAGGATACACACAGAACAGCACCTCAGTGGGCAGCAAGGCTTGGCAGGTACAACCACAGTGATGATAGAGCCCAAATCTTCCCTTGGATCAAAAACATGACATGGAATTAAGAGAATGGGTCATTTTTTTCTGAAAAATAATACCACCAAGGCCTGAGTTCAAATCAGTTCTCTGAGATGTGCCTAAACCTTGAACACTTTGCCTCATACTTCTCCAACTCAGGTATTCATGAGAATCCTTTGATGAGATCCTTTCTTCCCAATTCCTTCTCTGTATAGAAGATGTATTTAGGTCAGACAGGGGCCTCTGAAGCTCAGTGGTCACTACAGTAGTCAGGTGTGCAGTAACAAATCTAATGTCACTCAAACAAGGCCTGCAGTCCTCAGCTTCTGGGAGGTGATCTTTGTTTCACACCCTAACAGTGCCACTTAGGGTAGGGGCACCAAGGGCCCAGACCTCAGACCAACTCCAAAGCTGTCAGTCAACCATGCCTCTGCCACAAAGCCCCATGAGGTCCTCCACACGGGTCCTGTGAGCCAGCAAACCCTGTACAATAACACTGGCTGTCGAGACCCAGGGGCAGGAGTTGGACTCTCTGTATTTGGAAGACAAGGACTCTACCCTCTTTGTTGCTTTTCCTATGAGTTAAACCTTGACATTTCTCTGTGAGGAACTGACTGAGGTCCAGGGCTTTTAGAAAGTCTGATAGTTTTGCTAACAAGCCAATAACCCGAGGGCAGCATAGGGATCCCTGCCCTGAGTGGGCTGTGAGACAGAGTCCAGGCAACTGGGGGC